AAAAAAAATAGTTAATTTTTTCAAGATAAAAATATGTCTGACTCTTCCTACTTCTTTAGACAATGGCATCCCTAGAATATCAAAATATGGTTCATCACACTATTTTAACTTAATAAAAATAGTTTTAAAAAAAAAACAAAAAAAACACCTAAATGTGTGCAGCTATTTTCTTACATCGAAAAGACACAAAAAGTTTAAAACATCATAGCAAATATTAAAATTATTTTGCCCACATTGAAATATTATGTATGCAAAATGCCTTAATTATTAACAAGTTGACGTGTTATGATACCAATACTTATTGAAAAATTAACACCCAACATGATTCTGGCATGAAAAAAAAAATCATGTACTTTTTTTTTTTTTTGAGACGGAGTTTCACTCTTGTTGCCCAGGCTGGAATGCAATGACACGATCTCGGCTCACCGCAACCTCCACCTCCCAGGTTCAAGCAATTCTCCTGCCTCAGCCTCTTGAGTAGCTGGGACTGCAGGCACGCGCCACCACGCCCAGCTAATTTTTGTATTTTTAGTAGAGACGGGGTTTCACCATGCTGACCAGGATGGTCTCGATCTCTTGACCTTGTGATCCACCCACCTCGGCCTCTGGAAGTGCTGAGATTATAGGCGTGAGCCACTGTGCCCAGCATTTTTTTTTTTTTAAATTTGTGGTTTCTTTTTTTATTTTAATGTCTTTTATTTTTATTTTTATTTTTTTATTTTATTTTTTTTAGAGACAAGGTTTCACCATGTTGACAGGCCAGGGTGGTCTCAATCTCTTGACCTTGTGATAGGCCCGCCTCAGCCTCCCAAAGTGCTGGGATTACAGGCGTGAGCCACCGTGCCCGGCCTCCATGTACTTCTTTATATTCATGTAGAATGTTGTTATGGAAACTTGTTTCATGCTATTTTTCAAACTTCAGAATATAATATATCTGACTCATGTGGGGGGAGGGTCAGGTCATCATGTCATATATTTCTGTGTTATACCTATGTAAAAGAAAAAAGGGTGACTATGTATTTGTATGAACCCTCAGCTGGAAATGTCTGAGGAGTTGGCTAATTTATGTGCATTTTTTGTTGTATGTAGATTTCTACTTTTTTTTTTTTTTGAGATAGACGTCTCACTCTGTTTCCCAGGCTGGTGTGCAAACTTGTGCGGCAATCTTGGCTCACTGTAACCTCTGCCTCCCTCACTCAGGTGATCCTTCCGCCTCAGCCTCACAAGAAGCTGGGACCACAAGTGCGTGCCACCATGGCCAGTTAATTTTGTTGTTGTCGTTGCTGTATTTTTGATAGAAACAGGGTTTCACTATGTTCCTCAGGCTGGTCTCAAACTCCTGAGCCCAAGCGATCAGCCCACCTTGGCCTTCCAAAGTGCTAGGATTACAGGTGTGAGCCACCATACCTGGATTTCTGCTATTTTCAGTTCTCCATCACTTAAGCTTCCCTTGAATAAATTTACTAAATATATGTTTTTAAAATAGAGGGGTGGGAATAGCGTAAGAGAGGAGTAATGAAAAACAAGATGAATAGCGTAAAAGAGAAGAGTAATGGAAAACAAGGTCAGAACTTGAAGGAGCCAGAGCCAGATTACTGAGCAATCTCATTATCGGTCTAAGTAATAGGAAATCACAGAGGGTTGAGAGCCAGGCAGTGAAGGATGTGCCTGATTCAGAGAGGCTGGCCCAGCAGCTATCTCTGAAATGAACTGTATGCAGGAAGAGGCCACTTAAGATATCACTGTGATTATGAGGGAGTTAACGAGAGCTTGAATTAGGGAAGTGGCAGTGAGACTAGAGAATATGAGATGATTACATGAGAACTGCTGAAGGGAGTCGACAACACTTGGTAACTGACTGAACGTGAAAGTAGTAGAAAGAAAGTAGTCCAACGTGATGCTGAGCTTCAAAGCCTGAGAACTAGATAGGGGCATAAATAGAAATCAATTAATACAAGAATAAGGGCAGGCTTGGAGAAATAGAAATGAAATAAAATAAATGATATAGGTGGATTTCGATGTGCAAATGGAAAATCTACCTACATACTAGGGGCAGCTGGAAATGAGAAATTCAGGCTTGGGAGAAAAGCCTGGATTCTCTTTAAGGTGAAAAGAACATACAGTCAGCCCTCTGTTACCATGGGTTCTGCATCCGAGGATACAACCAACCACAGACTGAAAACATTCCGGAAAAAAAATGGGGCTGCATCTGTACTGAACATGTACCGACTTTTTTCCCTTGTCATTATTCCCTCAACAATAGGTATAACCACTATTCACATAGTTGTTTAGGTATTATAAAGCATTTACATTGAATTAGGTGTTATAAGTAATATAGAGATAATTTTAAAAGTATAGGGGAGGGTCAGGCATGGTGGCTCAGGACTGCAATCCCAGCACTTTGGGAGGCTGAGGTGTGAGGATCAGTTGAGCCCGGGAGTTCAAGATCAGCCTGGGCAACAGAGTGGGACTCTGTCTCTGAAAAAAAAAGCCAGGTGTGGTGTCTGTCATGTGCCTTTAGTGCCAGCTAGTCAGGAGGCTGAAGTGGGAGGATTGCTTGAGCCTGGGAGGTTGAGGTTGCAGTGAGCCGTGATCATGCTACTACACTTCAGCCTGGTGGACAGAATGAGACCCTATCTCAAAAATACATAGAATGTGCATAGGTTACATGCAAATACTGAGCCATTTTATATCAGGGACTTGAATATCCATGGATTTTGGTATTAATGGGAGTCTTGGAACCAATCCCCCTGTATACCAATGGACGACTCTACTCATTACTTCTTCATGCTGGTTGTCAATCAGTGTCCTTCCTAAATCCTCATATGAAGAACATGGTTCTTGAAGGAATGGAGTATAGATGCTCTATTGGTACCAGGTGTGAGAACATAATATACTTAAATGCATAAGGAGAAGCCCATTTAGCCATGGAAGGCTTCAATAACTACAAATTATGGTCTCTAGAGAAAAGCAGCTAAAGGTATAATTTTAATGTTACTTTACCATGGGATATGATGACTTCCCCACTGATGAATCATTGTTCTGATGATTGATTAAAACACACTTGATCACAGGCAGATCTTGATTTGTAATAGTCCCAGATATCATTGCAGAGAAAACAACTGTAAAACAAAACAAAAATGATAATGTCGATACATGCACACCTTAAAAAGAAAACGTGTATTTATCTCACAACCAAACAACAAAACAAAACGTAATCAGAGGAAATTGGCCACTATGAAAGCATGTAGGAAATTGGATTTCATGCAAGTTTAGTCTACTTTAAATCAGGAGCAGAGGTACTTAGAGCAGGGCTGTCCAATAAGCAGACTGCAGTGATAGAAATGTTCTATACCTGTGCTGTCCAATATGATAGTCACTGACTACATGTGGCTCTTAAGCTTTTGAAATGAGGTGGGTTTGGCTGGGTGTGGTGGCTCACACCTGTAATCTCATCACTTTGGGAGGCTGAGGCAGGCAGATTACTTTAGGTCAGGAGTTCGAGAACAGCCTGGCCAACATGGCGAAACCCCGTCTCTACTAAAAATACAAAATTAGCCAGGCATGGTGGTGCATGCCTGTAATCCCAGCTACTCAGGAGGCTGAGGCAGGAGAATCACCTGAACCCAGAAGGCAGAGGTTGCAGTGAGCAGAGATAATGGCATTGCACTCCAGCCTGGGCAACAAGAGCAAAACTCTGTCTCAAAAAATAAAAATTAAAATTAAAAAATGAAATAAGGTTAGTTTTGACTGAGGACCTGATTATTTGTATACATGATATTCTTTTCACTTTGGCCGCCCAAAGTGCTGGGATTACAGGTGTGAACCACTGTCCCCAGCCAAGATTATTCTCTTAACAAATTTGCTTATCTCTTTAAAAGCATTTTTTGGCTGGGTGTGGTGGCTCATGTCTGTAATCCAAGCCCTTTGGGAGACTGAGGTGGGCGGATTGCTTCAGGCCAGGAGTTTGAGACCAGCCTACGAAATACAATAAAATCATGTCTCTAAAATTTTTTTTTAATTAACTGGGCATAATGGTGTGCTCCTGTAGTCCCAGCTACTCAGAAGGCTGAGGTAGGAGAGGATCGCTCAGGCATGGGATGTTGAGGCTGCAGTGAGATGTGATTGCACCATTGCGATCCAGCCCCTGGGTGACAGAGTGAGACTTCATCTCTTAAAAAAAAAAAAAAAAAGGAATTTTTTAACTGTCACTTGAGTGGTCTGTAGATAGTTGACAAGAGGTAACATATGTGTTCACCCATCTTTGTAAACTTGTAACCTGAGACAGTCTCAGAAAGTAACTTTTCCTGTTCTATTCTTTAATGTTTTTTCTCGCGTCTTTAAAAAAATAATTAAAAAATTATTTTACAAGTATAATTAGCTTATAATAAATTGTGTACATTAAAAGTATACAATGTGAAAAAAAAAGTATGCAATGTAGTCGCTGGGCGCAGTGGCTCATGCCTGTAATCCCAGCACTTTGGGAGGCCAAGGCAGGCGGATCATGAGGTCAAGAGATTGAGACTGTCCTGGCCGTGGTGAAACTCGATCTCTACTAAAATACAAAAAGTTAGCTGGGCATGGTGGTGTGTGCCTGTAGTCCCAGCTACTCGGGAGGCTGAGGCAGGAGAATCCCTTGAACCCGGGAGGCAGAGGTTGCAGTGAGCTTGGTTTGGTCCCTTCCCTTCCGGCTTGGTGACAGAGTAAGAGTCCATCTCAAAAAAAAAAAAAAAAAAAAGAAAGAGTATACAATTTAGTAAATTCATGCATATCTATAAAACCATCACCATAATCAGAATAATGAATTTAAGGATGGGCATGGTACTCACATCTGTAATCCAGCACTTTGGGAAACCAAGGTGGGAAGATCACTTGAGACCAGGACTTAGAGACCAGGCTACAAGACAGAGTGAAACCCAATTTCTACAAAAATTAGTTTTTAAAACATTAGCCAAATGTGATGGCACGAGCCTGTAGTCTCAGCTACTTGGGAGGCTGAGGTGGGAGGATAGCTTAAGGCCAGGAGTTTGAAGCTGCAGTGAGCTATGATCGCACTTCTGCATTCCAGCCTGGGCAAAAGAACCAGATCCTGTCTCTAAAACAAAAAAACAATTTTTTTTTAAAGAAAGCAAACTTGGCCGGGCGCGGTGGCTCAAGCCTGTAATCCCAGCACTTTGGGAGGTCGAGGCGGGTGGATCACGAGGTCAAGAGATCGAGACCATCCTGGTCAACATGGTGAAACCCCGTCTCTACTAAAAATACAAAACATTAGCTGGGCATGGTGGTGCGTGCCTGTAATCCCAGCTACTCAGGAGGCTGAGGCAGGAGAATTGCCCGAACCCAGGAGGTGGAGGTTGCGGTGAGCCGAGATCGCGCCATTGCACTCCAGCCTGGGTAACAAGAGCAAAACTCCGTCTCAAAAAAAAAAAAGAAAGAAAGAAAGAAAGAAAGCAAACTTATCCATCACTCCCAGGTTTCCTCATAAAGATTTGATATCACACCCTCCTACCAACCCCATTCCCCTACACCCAAGCCACCTCAAATCTGGTTTCTGGTCACTATAGACTAGTTTGCATTTTCTAAAATTTCACACAAATGGAATCACACGGTATGAACTGTTTTTTTATAGGATGGGTGGTCTGGCTTCTTTCGCTCTACATTTTTTTTGATATTTGTCCATACTGTAGTAGATATCAGCAGTTCATTCATTAATTTCCGAGTAGTAATCTGTTGTATAGATATAAACACAATGTTTTAATGTATTCATCTATGGACAGACATGGGCTGTCTCCACTTTTGCTCTTACTGATAAAGCTGCTATTTCTATAAAAGTCTTAATATGGACATACACTTTCATTTCTCTTGGGTAAATACTAAGGAGTTGAATGCCTAGGTTATATGGTAGGTGTATGTATAACTTTTTGAGAATGTGCCCAACTGTTTTCCAAAGAGGTTAGAGCTTTCATATTTCCATTCACAGTGTATGGAATTCCAGTTGCATCATATCTTGCTAACACTTGGTGTGATGAGACTTAAAAATTTTGGCCTTTCTAATAAGTGTGTTGTATCTCATTGTGGTTTTATTTATTTTTGTTTTTTATTTTCTGAGACAGGGTCTCGCTCTGTCACTCAGGTTGGAGTATAATGGCATGACCAGGGCTGACTGCAGCCTCAACCTCCTGGGCTCAAGCCATCCTCCTGCCTTAGCTTCCTGAGTAGCTGAGACAACCTGTGCCCACCACCGTAACTGGCTAATTTAATTTTTGTATTTTTCGCCCAGGCTGGTCTTGAACTCCTGGACTTAAATCATCTGCCCGTCTTGACCTCCCAAAGTGCTGGGATTACAGGCATCAGCCACTGCACCCAGCCCTCTTTGTGGTTTTAATTTGTATTTTCCTCCTGACTAATGAACACTGAACATCCATTTAGGTGATGCCATTACATTTCATAACCCCTTTGGTGGTGTGTCTGTTCACAGCTTTTGCCCAAATCAAATCATTTAAAAAATTATTGAGTATTTTATAATTCACAAAAATATATACTTACGGAGTATAGTGTGATGTTTTAATATATACATACATTGTGGAATGATTAAATCAAGCGAATTAACATATACATCATCATGGTTTTGATTTAAATTGCCCTAATGATTAGTGATATTGAGCATTTTTTCATATATTTCTTGGCCATTTGTAAACAAGAAGGTATGTATCTTTCTTTCTTTCTTTCTTTTTTTTTGGAGGCAGAGTCTCACTCTGTTGCCCAGGCTGGAGTGCAGTGGCTATTCACAGGCACAATCCCATTACTGATCAGCATGGGAGTTTTGACCTGCTCTGTTTCTGACCTGGGCCGGTTCACCCCTCCTTAGGCAACCTGGTGGTTCCCCACTCCCAGGAGGTCACCAGATGGATGCTGAACTTAGTGCGGACACCCAATCAGCATAGCGCACTACAGCCCAGAACTCCTGGGCTCAAGCGATCCTCCCACCTCAGCCTCCTGAGTAGCTGGGACTACAGGCACATGCCACCACACCCAGTGGTATGTTTATTTCAAAGTAGTTAAAAAACAGGACTTGAAATATTCCCAACACATAGAAATGATAAATATTTAAAGTGATGATTACATCAAATACTCTAAGGTGGTGCTTACACATTCTATGCATGTCACAAAACATCATATGTACCCCATAAATATGTAAAATATTGTGTACCAATAAAAAATAGATGCATCACAAGGCTGGTTGCAATGGCTTACACCTGTACTCTCAGCACTTTGGAAGGCCAAGGCAGGCAGATCACTTGAGATCGGGAGTTCAAGACTAGCCTGGCCAACATGGTGAAACCCCATCTCTACTAAAAATACAAAAATTAACCAGGCGTAGTGGTGCACGCCTATAGTCCCAGCTACTCAAGAGGCTTAGACAGGAGAATCGCTTGACCCTGGGAGGTGGAGGCTGCAGTGAGCTGAGATTGTGCCATTGAACTCCAGCCTGGGTGACAAGAGTGAAACTCCGTCTCAAAAAAAAAAAAAATGGATGCATCACTTCATGTACTTATTTTCTCATACTGAGACATCTAAAATCTACTCTCTTAGCTATTTTCTTTTTATTTATTTATTTATTTTTGAGACGTTGCCTCATTCTGTCACCCAGGCTGGAGTGCAGTGGGGCCATCTTGGCTGGCTGCAACCTCTGCCTCCTAGTCTCCAGTGACCCTCCTGCCTCAGCCTCCCGGGTGGCTGGGATTACAGGCATACACCACCACACTAGGCTAATTTTTTGTATTTTTAGTAGAAATGGGGTTTCACCATGTTGACCAGGCTGGTCTCAAACTCCTGACCTCGTGATCCACCTGCCTTAGCCTCCCAAAGTGCTAGGATTATAGGCATGAGCCACTGCACCTGGTCTCTCTTAGCAATTTTCTCATAAACAATGCATTTTAAAACTATGAACATCTTGACATTTATTTATTCATCCATCCATGCAATTAACAAATAATGAGTACCTACAGTGGCCCCAAAAAGAGAAAATATATTACAAACTATAATCAAATGCTGATGTTTATTTTATTTCATTTTATACAATACATTTGCCTTCTCCAGAGGGACAGAACCAATAGGATAC